CAACATTAGGATTTAGGGTTTAGGGCCTATTAGGGTCTAGGGTTTAGGGCAGCTGGGGGTCATGGAAACTTCCGCATTCAACACCAGCGAAGGCCTGTTTTTGAAAGGTTTCCGGGGCCTTCCGTGCCGTGGGAAGCGCGCAGAGCCACCCGACATGCGGGGCGGCCGAAGAGCGGCGGGATCTGGTCATAGGGTTTAGGGTTTAAATTTCAGAGTTTAGGGTTTAGGGTATGAAACACCGTGGGGTAGGGCCCAAAACAACCCCGGAACTCGGAACCTAGGGACTTCGGGGCATTCGGGACATTAAGGGTCTTTAGGGGGATTTTTTGGGGGCATAAGGGTCATTGGGGTCATCAGGGTCATCAGGGTCATTAGGGTTTAGCTTTGCATTTTCAGGCTGAATACGGGGTGTATTTGCTTTTTGGGTTGCTTTTTGGGCGTCGCCCTTAAAGCCCTAAAACATCTCAGGTTTGAGGCTTAGGGCGTAGGGCCCTTACACCCTTAAACCCCCAAACCCGAACCCTGAACCCTAGCCCCGAAACCCGAAACCCTCCTTGGCTCGTGTGTACGCCTGGCTGCCCGCCTCCGCAAACTTTCTTTCCACTCTCTCCGTTGCATATCTAGACGCGCTGCGCACCTTTAGGATTTAGGGTTTTGGGTTCAGGGTTTAGGGTTTATGTAGAGTTTAGGGTTTAGGGTTTAGGGTTTGGGGTTTAGGGTTTAGGGTTTATGGTTTAGGGTTTAGGGTTTAGGGTTTCGGGTTTAGGGTTTAGGGGTTAGGGTGTGGGATCGAGTGATCCAAGAGTGGATCAGTCGATGCATCACTTTGATCAAAGGCCTGGGACGTTGGCTTGGGCTTGGAACAGACGAGAGCTTTGTGCGCTTTTGCGGGCCCCTAAACCCTAAACCCTAAACCCTAAACCCTAAACCCCGTTTCTCCTTCGATCGCGCGGGTTGCTCCCATGCAGACTGCAGCATCCAAGACGCCATTCGCCGGACATAGTGGCCGTGATCGACGTGGCCGTTGGGCCCTAAACCCTAAACCCTAAACCCTAAACCCTAAACCCTAAACCCTTTCTGAGGGATCTGGAACAAGGGAAGAAGGGTTCAGGATTTCACCGGCCCGAAGCCTGCACATCCCTCAGAACCCAAAGTCTCACGAGAGCTGTGAGCCTAAGCCAGCCCTAGCCACAAACCCCAAACCCAACCCGAACCCTCTTACGAAACCCCCGAAATCCCCGAACCCCCCCCCCCCACCCCCGCCCCGAAACCCCGAAAACCCTGGGCCTCACCGCCTCTACGCCGCCCAGGGTGCCGCCTGTCCACCAGAGCTCTCGGGTCGAGGCAGTGGTGGCCGCCTAGATGTCGCAAATGGGTAGAGGGTTTAGGGTTCAGGGTTTAGGATTTAGGGTTTAGGGTTTCAGGGTTCAGGGTTCAGGGTTCAGGGTTCAGGGTTCAGGGTTCAGGGTTTAGGGTTTAGGGTTTAGGGTTTAGGGTGGATGTCTGGGGTGTTGGGTTGAGGGTTGACGGCGTAAGGTTGGGGCTTACGGTTTGAGGGAGCCTCAAGGGTTGGTCACAAAGAAAGGGGAGGAACAAAACACCACTGCAAGCCCTACCCCTTCCACGAGAAAAATCCAGCTTTTCCCTCAACTTAAATCGCCTGAACCCCAAACCCTAAACCCCAAACCCTAAACCCTAAACCCCAAACCCTACACCCTAAACCCTAAACCCCAGACCCCCCCCCCTTCAACAGTCCGAAGATCTGCGCTCTTGGCTGCCGGGAGGTGCAGGTGGGGGAGCGGGCGGCGCGCCTCAGGTTGCAAAGGGGAGGGAGGAGGGGGGTAGGGTCGAAGAGCATCGACACAGCACAGTTTGAGCCAGTGGGGTACCCTACCCCCCCAACACCCTAAAACCCGAAACCCTAAAACCCTAAATCCTAAACCCTAGACTCTAAACCCTAAACATACTAAACCCAAAATCGTGAAACCCTAAACCCCAGACTTGGGAGGGAAGTTCCAGGATGTCGGGCTGTCGGGTGACTTGTAAGGGGCTTTTCGGGAGCTCCCAGGGGCGCGTTTGGTCCTTGAGGGTTTAGGGTTTCGGGTGTCGGGTTTAGGGTGTAAGGTGTAGGGTGTAGGGTTTAGGGTTTAGGGTTTAGGGTTTAGCGTTTAGGGTTTAGGGTTTAGGGTTTAGGGTTTAGGGTTTAGGGTGGAACCCCCTACCAGGTCCTGCCAGGCCTTTGCTGGACGCAGAGGCTTGGAGAGCCAATGTCGAGCCGCCTGGTGGATGTGGGACGTTCCCTAATGGTACCTTTTAGGGTTTGGGGTTTAGGGTTTAGGGTTTAGGGTTTAGGGTTTAGGGTTTAGGGTTTAGGGTTTAGGGTTTAGGGAATCTAGGGGACCCTAGTTTAGACAACTGCCCATGTGGAGGGGGGGCGGGGGATTGAATTAGGGCCTGGAGGGAGAGGAGTTTTTGGGGTTCGGGGTTTTCGGGCTTGGTGCGCATCTGGACCGGTCCACACTGCGAAACCTGAACCCAAACCCTGAGCCCTGATATCTACTCCACTCCACTCCGTTGAAAGACCAAATCCTACCTGAGGCCCAACCCTTTCTTGCACATGTTTCAGGGTGGGTTCAGGGTTTGGCTTTAACCCTAAAGCCTAAAGCTGTAACCCAGACACACCTCAACCTCGCCTTTGTGCTGTGGATATCCAGCACGTCCGTGTCATCCGCCACGACCTCGGCCCACCACAGCATGGGCGAGGGTTGAGGGTTTAGCGTTTAGGGTTTAGGGTTTAGGGTTTAGGGTTTAGGGTTTAGGGTTTAGGGTTTAGGAATTTAGGCTTTCGGCTGAAAGGTGAAGGGTGAAGAGTGAACTTAGAACAGCACCCACCGAAACCCTCAAGCTTCGTAGCTCTGCCCCTCCATCAGCCTAAACCCGAAACCCTAAACCCTAAACCCAAAAAGAACCTAAACCCTAAACCCAAAGCCCCCTCCCCACCCTTTCCTTCAGCCCAGTGGCACGGGCGTGGGGAGAACTGGGCTCTAGGCCTCCAAGACATCTTGTGATTTAGGGTTTAGGGTTTAGGATTTAGGGTTTAGGGTTTCGGGTGTAGGGATTGGTGGGGTTTCGGGCTTGGGGTCTAGGGTTTAGGTATGAGCCGGGCTTGGATGGAGGGTTTAGGTGGCGTTGTCAATCCGCAGCGCCCAAGCAGGGTTCAGGGTGTAGAGGGTTTAGGGTTTAGGGCTTAGGGCCCACTAAAGCTCAGCAGATCTAGCGGTTCTACATGAGGGCAGAATGGAACATCCATGTCGCGGCCATTCCGTGATTTTGAGATGCTTTGCTCTTTCCAGCCTGGGATCTTACAACTTCTTAAGCCAAGCCCCCTAAACCCAGAACCCCGAAACCACAAACTCCCCAACCCAAACCCCGTAAACCCCCCAAACCGCCACACCAGCGCTTTAAGTTGTGGGGTTCCGGGTGTAGAGTCTACTGTGGTTTGGGGGGGGGGGGGTACGGGTTCAGACTGCGGGTCTACTGTGGTTTGGGGGGGGGGGGGGGGTACGGGTTCAGACTGCGGGGTTTAGGGTCTACACCCTAAACCCCTGAACCCCAAACCCTAAACCCTATGTAACCCCTACCCCTGAAACACTTAAGAAGCGGCCTCGGGGGAAGGGCATCGGTGCTGAGGCGTCAGCATGGCCCGGGCCGAGACTCTGGGGCGTCCCGGGCTTAGGGTTTAGGGTTTAGGGTTTCGGGCTTAGGGGCTTAGGGGTTCAGGGGTTTAGGGTTTAGGGCTAAGGTTTAGGGTTTAGGGTTCAGGGAACCCTAAACCCTAAACTCCTAAACTCCTGAACCCCCTCAACCCTAAACCCCAAACCAAGCTACAGATCCCTTACGGCTCGGGCCAGAGCGCGCGAAATGGGGAGGAGGGGCCTTCATTAAGGGATTCATTGAGCTGGCTGACTAGCATGGCTCTTGAAGCCCTCTGAAAAAATATTCTTAAAAGAGAGTCCTCTTAAGCCCAAGAAGGGAAACTAGTCCTCTTAAGCCCAAGAAGGGAAGACTTAAGATGTCCCCAGAAGCCTACCGAGCTGAACCCCGGCTTCGGGACTCTTTCGGGCTTTTAGGGTTTGGGGGTTCTTGGGTTTAGGGTTTAGGGTTTAGGGTTTAGGGTTTAGGGTTTAGGGTTTATGGTCTATAAGGGTTCTGGGTTTCGCGTTGAACAGGGCTTGGGGTCTAGGGGTCAGGGGGTTTAGGGTTTAGGGGTCAAGGGCCCAACCCCCATCGCCCAAACCCCAAACCGGACCCGGCCAGCCCCGACGGTTCTTCTAACAAGCTGACCTGTTGTCGGCAACTGGATGGTGAAACAAGGCGGATGGATTTGGAAGCTTCAGAGTTTAGGGGGATGTTGCAGTTTGAGAGTTCAGGTTGTTGTTGAAGATTTAGGATGCTCCTGGCTCACGTCTCAGGGCTGAAAAGGGTTTAGGGTTCGGGGTTTGGGGTTTCCCTAAACCCTAAACCCTCAACCCTAAGCCCTAAACCCGGCTTTCGAATGCTCCGTGGAGCCAGGGTGCTTCCACATCTGGGCCCACAAATGCTCGGGAAGCTGCCCGCGGATCTTCTGGAGTCCTCTTTACACCCCAAAGCCAACTTTCCGAACCCTCCACACCCTTCGGCTCCTAAACCCTAAACCCTAAACCCTAAACCCTATGGTACCCTAAACCCTGAACCCTAAACCCCTAACCCCTAAAACCCTAAACCGCGAAGGCATCCGAAGTCTGGCTTCGGGTTGAGGCTTTGGGGCCCGGACCTGGTCAGATCGGGGGGCCAGCTTGGGCGTGAAACTCCGTCGAGAGGGTGCCGCGCACGCGTCCCTCCCGGTACACATGCGCTTGTGGCATGGGGGACCTCTTGATGTTGCTTGAAAACCCTGTTTCACCGTGAACTCGTCTAAGACCTCAACCCCAGACCCTAAAACCCCTTCAGGAAACCGGCGACTACGTCTCACACTTCTTGCTCAGGGGCTTCCAGTCTGCGTAGCAGCAGCAGTGTCCAGTTTCCTGCGGGGTCTTGGGGGTGTTCTGAGGCCCGCCGTTTACCCTGCAGCCTCTTAGGGTAAATTAGGACCCCTTATATACCCTTGCATACGCTATACAACCCATACCTCAGAACGCTTCAAGAAGGAGGGACCATGTTAAGGGACCATGTAACGGCCCTTAGACCCCGAAACTCCGAAACCCTAAACCCTAAACCCTAAACCCTAAAAACCCTAAACCCTAAACCCTAAGCCCGTTTGGGAGTGCAGGGTTCAGGGGGGTCTGGGGGTTGCCGGGTCTTTAGGGCAATCCCTCCACCTCGGTTTAGGGTTGAGGGACCCTATTTAGGGTTTAGGGTTTAGGGCTTAGGGTTTAGGGCTTAGGGTTTAGGGTTTAGGGTTTAGGGTTTAGGGTTTAGGGTTTAGGGTTTAGGGTTTAGGGTTTAAGGTTTAGGGTTTAGGGTTTAGGGTTTAGGGTTTGGGCTCCCTACAGCCCAAACCCTAAACCCTAAATCGCCCCCCCCCCCCCCCCACCTCCCCCCCCCCAAGGGACCCGCAGCACGACACCGAAGGCATAGCCCACGCTGGTGCAGCCGCTGCGACAGCTGAGGAGGCCTCCAGAGTTGCCGCCGGTTCTAGGGCTTAGGGTTTAGGGTTTAGGGTTTGCAGGGTTTGCAGGGTTTGCAGGGTTTGCAGGGTTTGCAGGGTTTGCAGGGTTTGCAGGGTTTGGGTTTAGGGTTTGCAGGGTTTGCAGGGTTTGCAGGGTTTGCAGGGTTTGCAGGGTTTGCAGGGTTTGCAGGGTTTGCAGGGTTTGCAGGGTTTGCAGGGTTTGCAGGGTTTGCAGGGTTTGCAGGGTTTGCAGGGTTTGCAGGGTTTGCAGGGTTTGCAGGGTTTAGGGTTTAGGGTTTAGGGTTTAGAAGGGGGCATACGGACAAACTGTCCTGGACTTTGGACTGCTTTTGCGGCAGAGTAATCCCTAAACCCTAAACCCTAAACCCTAAACCCTAAACCCTAAACTGGCTAAACCCTAAACCCTAAACCCTTCAATAAAGCATCGGCAGAAAGTGGCCAAGCTACACGAGGCCGAGGAGGGTTCATCGCACGTCTGCCGAGTGATGTGAAGCTGCTTGTAACCTCGGCCGTACGTTGAGGGTTGGGGCTTAAGGTTTGGGGTGTTGGGTGTATAAGTTGAGGGTTTGGGGTTCAGGTCTAGGGTCTAGAGGAGTCTCATCGCGGGGGCACGCCGGGGCTAAAGGCACTCAGGCGCGCCCTCTGCCCTCGCTTCGACCTTTGCAGGTTCAGGGTTTCCTCGTCGAGCTTTTTGCAATGTTTAGGGATGCACTCGCTGCGACCCCCCCTCCCCCGGCTTCACCTTTTGGGTCCGCGTGCAGGAGGCCCTGAACCCTGAACCCTAAACCCTAAACCCTAAACCCTAAACCCTAACCCTAAAACCCTAAACCCGAGCCCTTCACAGGAATCCGGCTGCGGAGGCAACCTTCGCTTTGGTGTCTGGGTACTAGAGAGGCCTGAGTGACTAGAATGGGGTTTTGGGGTTGTTAGAGTACAAGGATAGGGAATACCATGAGGAGTTATTCCAACCCAGTATCCAGCAGGCTCTTAACAGGGGTCTGAAGGCCTTTTGAACTATTGGGATTTAAGGCTCAGAGGTTCATCCGAAGCTGCCCTCAACCACGGCAGCCACAGACCTACGCCTCGACCCACTGAAAGCTTGAGAGACCCTGGAACCTTAAACCCTAAACCCCAAACCCTAAACGCCCAAGACCCCCAGAATGTCCGAGGCCTCCCGAGGCCAAGCATTCGTAGGGGGGGCTCATGTCGAGGGGTCCCTTTGCCCCCCTTAGGCCCCTGCTTCCCCACAAGCCAAGCTCTTTTCTGGGTTCAGGGTTTAGAGTTTAGGGTTTAGGGCTTAAGTTTAGGGTCTGGGGTTTAGGGTTTAGGGTTTAGGGTTAGGGTTTAGGGTTTAGGGTTTAGGGTTTAGGGTTTAGGGTTTAGGGTTTAGGGTTTAGGGTTTAGGGTTTAGGGTTTAGGGTTTAGGGTTTAGGGTTAGGTTTAGGGTTTAGGGTTTAGGGTTTAGGGTTTAGGGTTTAGGGTTTAGGGTTTAGGGTTTAGGGTTTAGGGTTTAGGGTTTAGGGTTTAGGGTTTAGGGTTTAGGGTTTAGGGTTTAGGGTTTAGGGTTTAGGGTTTAGGGTTTGGGGGGTGTAGGTCACTCGGAAGACCTTCAACCTCCAGCACAGATAAAACAGCGGGGACCCTGAACCCGAGCCGAGCGGCAGTTGCAGTACTTTCCCGGCCCCACGCCGTTCCTAGGCTGCCCAATCAGAAGGACCGTTTAAGGGAGGGGGGGGGGGGGGAGTAGGATGCAGCAAAGAAGGACTGAATTTGACGCAAGAGCACCCCAAATAAGGACCCAAATCAAACGGAAGACAGCGCCTATAAGTATTGAACAAGCTGGAAGACAGCACCCCCTCAACAAGACCCAAAGAAGGATCAACCCGAGACCCGTATACACCTACTTGGAGGTTCATGGTACTTATTGACCAATGATAACTGTACTTACAGCCCACTTGTGAGCCTCTCAAGTGCCCTAATATGATTATATATATATATACATATATATACATACTTATATATATATGATTATATATATAATTATATATATATATATACATATATATATAAGTACAGCTCTAAGTACAGCGATAACTGGTTAGTAAGGTGTTCAACTCGCTGAAAGGCTTGAGACCCCCGGTGGGGAGGTCGAACCCTAAACCCCAAAGCCTAAACCCTAAACCCCTAAACTCTGAACCCTAAACCCTACCTCCACTTTGAACATGTGGAATGCACCAACGAAGGTTCCCTGGCTGCACCCCACAAATCCACCAACGCCCGAACCCTGAACCCTAAACCGAACCGGGGCCCCAAACCCTTACCCCTGCCAAGGAAAAGCACCTCGAACGCTGTCTCTGTCTGTTGTGTTGAAAATACCCTGGAAGCACGTTAAGAATGCTAAAAACCATGTCCTGCTTAAGGAAAATGGGACTAAAGGCCGCCCAAGGCTGGCCTGAACTCGGAACCCCGAACCCAAAACTTGAAAACTCCAAAACTGGCAACACACAACCCCAAACCCTCAACACTGAGCCCAAATCCCAAGCCGCTAAACCCCAAGAAATATACCCCAAAATCTGAATAACCCACAAGCAATGCTAAACCCAAACCCCAAAGAGCCCTAAACCCTCAACCAACCCCCAAGCCCTAGACTCTGAACCTTAAACCCTAAACCACCGCCTAGGCTCGACTCGCACATGGACGATCCGAAGCCTATGTTTCTGCACTCCACGTGACAGCCCAGGTTCCTCAGATTGGGTGAGGGAAGGGAGGGGAAGGAGGCAGGGAGTACCAGGACGGGTAACCCGAACCCTGCAATCAAACTCTGCCCTCCTGTCCCTTGGGGGTTTGGGGTTTAGCGTTTAGGGTTTAATGTGAATTCCTGACACCATGAACCATGCTCTTTACCCACTACACCACACTGTGACTTCACAGATCCTCGTGCTGCGGGCTAGAGATCAGTTTTAAGGCTCACGGCGGGTTCTTGGTTTAGGGTGAAGAAACCCTAAACCTAAACCCTAAACCCCAAACCCGTTTGCAGGTAGAGTTTAGGGTTTTGGGTCACAGGCTCCAGCTGGCACCGTGTAGAGGCCAGCTCTTCTCCTCGACCTCGGCAGAGAGGTCTCTCTCTACACTCCAAAACCCCCGAAACCCTAAACCCTAAACCCCAAACCCAAACCCAAAGCCTCGACCCCAAACCCAAACCTCCGAAAACCCTCTACACCCTCTGATCTCCAAGCCCAACAAACCCCACAACTCCCCGAGACTTGACCTAAACACTCAAGACCCTAAACCCTAAACCCTAAACCCTAAACCCTAAACCCTAAACCCTTCGACCGGGCCGGAGCCCGCCTTAAACCGAAACCCTGAAGCAACCACCTGAGAGGGATTAGGGGAAAGCCAAAGAAGAGTTGGGGCGCGGGTGTAGGTCTTAGGGTTTTTAGAGGTTTAGAGGTTTAGAGGTTTAGGGGTTTAGGGGGTTTAGGGTTTAGGGTTTAGGGGTTTAGGGTTTAGGGTTTAGGGTTTAGGGTTTAGGGTTTAGGGTTTAGGGTTTAGGGTTTAGGGTTTAGGGTTTAGGGTTTAGGGTTTAGGGCTTGCCAATCCTTCGGTCTCTGCGAGGCTTCCTGAGGCGCGGGGCCCCGAATCGCGTACTCCAAGCCTAAACCTCCAAGCTCCTAAACCCCTGAAACCCCTGAAACCCCTAAACCCCAAACCCTAAACCCTAAACCCTACACCCTAA